GCCCCATGATTTTTTTTTTTTTTTAATGAGACTGGGGATAGTGGAGTCCCAGTTCTAGATCTATAGTTAGCCAATTAACCCCAGGGACTTTTGAACTTTTTGTTGTCATTGTTGCCCTTAGCTTAAGCTGATTGCTGTTTGCATTACTGAAGATTTTTCTAAGCTGTTTTTCAGAATTAACTACAGTGTGTTGAAGCTTCTACTAGGTGCCAACATTCTAAAACATATTTTTCATTTTTATTATTGGTGTGTGTGTGTGTGTGTGTGTGTGTGTGTGTGTGTGTCTATTTGTGTGTACAGGCATGCACCTGTCGTGGCATGCATATGGAGGTCGGGATCCTTGACCGCTACCTTTGACATAGTATCGCTCTTGATGCCACCACTGTGTCCACAGGACAGCTTGCCTACAAGAGTCCGAGGACTCTCCTCTTCTACCCTCATTTTGTCTAGGAGTGCTGGGATTATAAATGCTGGCTTATGTGTCTGTCTTCTCGTGGGCTCTGGAAATCTGAACTCGGGTCATCAAGCTTGAGCGGAAAGTACTTTTGCCCATTGGGCTATTTCCCTAACCCTCAAATGATAGATAGGCTTACTTCCTACATCATCATTCACATACCTGTATCCAGAAATATTTTTTTCTGGGAAGTCTCACTGTACCTAGCTTTGTACATAAGTCAACTCATAAACATTTGCTCAACAGCTAAAGGGAAGACAGTGTGAGGACCAAGGGGAACAAAAGGCGGCAGCTGGTGAATGAAAGTGCTTAACTGGACTATCAGAAAACATGGAGTATAACTTTTCGACTTGATTACAGACTGACTAATTCAAACCTGAACTGTCATCCAGATTCCAATTCCATACACATAGTTGAGAAATCTATCGTTATATACTTACTATACTACTGTGTGAAGCTTCTATGCCTGAAATTACTCAAAAGAAAAAGAAAAAATACCTTTTCCAACATCTGTCAGTCTGAGACTATGGAAACTGTGAAAGGAAAAGTCTTGAGAACACTTCAGAAACAAAGAAAAAACAAAGAAGGGAAGGCATACTTCTGTGCAGAGACTGATGGAAGGAGTAGGTCTTGCGTTCTGGAGAATAGCTTCGACTGCTGACACTGGAGCCAGATCTGCTGTGTGGGGAGTCCTTCCGGCCTACAGGTGATTCTCTGAAAAAAGGAGCATCCCTTTTATGGGGAGACCGTTCTCTCGAATAATGGGACGAGTAGAAGCCTTTTCTTCTAAAGCCATCTCTCATGTCCCTTTAAAGAAAAAAAAATGTTTTCGTTAGATTCTCTACCCAGACATACAAACACGACAGGGTTCCCACTGCTATTCCACACTGCGGTCTTAGTTCCCTTTTCTGCCAACACCTAACTACTGAACTCACTTAACAAGTCTAATTTTCAGAGAAATACGATTTAGGAGTCATGGCAGTTGAGGGGCGGGGCATACTGGTGGGCAGTAGCCAAGGATTCCACTAAAATCCCACACTGCCCAAGACACTAACCCCAGGCACACACTAAGGAGCACCTTCTAGCACAAAAGTTAATGTTGCCAAGCATGATCTAGCAGCCAAATCCTTGCTCTGACTGTTTCAAAGTTGTATTGCATCCCCACTACCTTTACAAATCACTTCCACCTCTACAAACCAAGCTCTTTATTAGGCAATGTCATCAATTCAAAGCAGTGAGTGAGTCCTACTAATCCCTACAGGACAGGGATACAGCCCAGTTTGTAGTGATTTCCTTACATGCACACCGCCGAAGTTTGACACTAGTGCTGCAAAGAAAGAGGGAAAGAGGATGAAAGAGAGGGAGAGAAACAAGTAAAATTTTATACAGAAGAAACACAGGAAACCAAGTCTACTTAAGTAAACTATGAAGATAGAAACCTCAGGTGGGCATGGTGGCGCATACCCTCAATCTGAGCACTTGGGAAGCAAAGGCAGTAGATTTCTGTGAGCTCAAAGTCAGCCTGGTCTACATAGCAAGTTCCAGAACATGCAGCCAGGGCTACAAAGTGAGACCCTGTCTCAAAATAAACAAAAGAAAGAATGGGAAAAAGATATAAACTTCTGTAAAATATAAAGAAAAAGTAAAGAAAAAGATTAAAAAGAAAACAAAAACCTCTATTAAAAAGTCAATCTTTAATTGACTTAACAAATATATCTTCAATTAAAATTAAAAACCAATTTTTTTCAGGACTGGAGAGATGGCTCAGCGGCTAAGAACACTGGCTGCTGAGGACCCCAGTTTGGTCCCAGTATAACTCCAGTTCCAGGAGTTATATACACTTATATACATGGAGCCAAAATACTCATACATATCCATTTAAAAATTAATTAATTCTAAAAATTGTTTCTTTATTTGCTTATTTTTGTTTTGAGACAGGGTCTTACTCTGCCCCCAGGCTGGCCTCAAGCTCATGGCAACCTTCATGCCTCAGCCTACCAAGTACTGGGACTACAAGTGTGTTCCACCACACCTGGCCAAGGCACTAAATTGTTCACAGATGAATGCTGATACAAACTAACAGTATGGATTTCTATTTTTTCCTTTCTCTTCTTTTTCCAGTGCTAGGGCTCAAACCCAGAGGCTTGTTCAGAAAATATAACAGACCCTGCTATCAAGTAGGAGGCAGTCTTATAATCCAACTGAGCACTTGCTCATCAATTCCCAAAATACTCTCCCCTACAGAAACAACTAAGTTTCCTTGGGAAAAAGAATGCATCTAAAATTCACTTATCAACTCATACAAAACACTAACACTGAAATAAAGCATTAACAATTTCTAATATAATTAGGTCTAGTCAAGGAAACCACAGGATCAATACCAACATCATGTTAGCTTGTGGCTACATATGTATTCAGCAGGTCCCAGAAACTAAACCAGAGCCCAATGGGGAACCAAATACCACCACAGATGCATTGGGATCCCTGCCATTACCAAACTCTGAAGATACACATACACATAATACATGTGAATGAGGTCAAGAATGGCTACAGGGAGACTAACTAGGAATTTGCTTAGTCCAGGAAGAAATGATGGTAACCTCAATGGAATGATGACTATTTGACCACACAGCATGAAAGACAGAATGCTAGGCTGATTCCCATGATGGACGAATGAAACGAGAAGAGCTGACCTGAGGAATGGGGATGGGGTGCAAGATCCATTTCTGGATGGGAGGCACTCATGTAACATCTAGGTAAACAAGCAACGACATGGGTCTCAAGTTCAGAAGACAAATTTACCTACACACACACAGGCTGTAAATCCATGTACAGGTGACAGCAAAAGAGAAAAGGGCAGAAAGCTCAGGATGCAGTGAGGACAGGCTCCCAACGAGTGAGAACCCAGGCAGGAGAACACAGAAAAGCTTATTCCATGGGAAAAAAAAAAGACTATCTGCATTGAAATCAATGAGCACATTGATAACTTGTTTGTGGATAGAGAAGAAAACAGGCTAACATTGGGAAGAAAGAGCACCAACTTCTCCCTTTGAAAAGATGAAATGCTGAACGCATTTCCTAATCCAACACCAGAGGGCAGTCACATCAAAGCACTGGTCAGTAGGTGGCCTGCTTGGCCCAATTCTAGCTTGGAAAAAAGTCGCTTCACATCAGCCTTCCCAGCCACCCACCAACTCAGGCAAAAACACCACAGGAGACAAATATCCTAAGTAGCCTGTTTCACAAAGTAGCAGTAATTGCCAACTCACTTTGTCAGCTATGGGGGTATGTATGTGCACATTATACGACAGGCACTATGGAGAACTGCCTGGATTTGAGGGCTCTTAGCAGCTAACTGGGGCAATAAACATCCAGGAGGGCTGGTACTGCAGTTCAATACTGATATATATGTGCCAGTAAAAAAACTGATCTGGGGGCCTGTGTTGGTAGAGTGCTTGCCTAGCATGTGTGAAGTCCTGGGTTCAACCACCACCACCACAGAAAGGCAAGCACAGTAGGGCACGCCTGTAACTGCAGCACTCTGAAAGTACAGGAAGGAGAATCTGGCTGAGCCAGTGAAGACTCTGGCCACCAAGCCTGATGACCTGAGCTCCACCCCCAGGAACAACTCGGTGGGAGAGGACTGACTCCTGCAAGCTGTCCTCTGACCTCCACACACACAGTGTGGTAGGGGCATACCCACACCCATACACATAGGTGTAGACAAAATAAATTAATTCCTTAATAAAACTATCATCATCCTCAGCTACATGGTGAGTTTGAGGGCAGTCTAAGCTTCCTGAGACCCGGTCTCAAAAAAAGAGCAATAAAAAAACCAGATCTGAGTATTAAGGAAAGGAACATATTTAAAGAAACTGGTAAAATTAATGTTAATGTTAGCCCAATATGCCCAAAGTATTATCAACATGTAGTTAATATTTTAAAATTCAGAAAGACATTTTACATAGTCTTTTTGTCTTAAGTCTTGCAAATGCAGGGTGTGTGTTCTATAGTTAAAGAATACTTGTGCCTGAATGGATCGATCTTAGGTCCAACAGTTCACCTAGTGGTTCTCATACTGGACAGACCAGATTCCAGGGAAAAGAGCACGTCAAGCTTGAAAGCAACTAGAGAAGGACCAAAGGGTGGTCTGTAAAAAGAACAGTGGTCAAAGGCCTGGCATGGGGACGCACACTTTTAGTTCTAGCACTTGGGAGGCGGTAGCAGAAGCAGGTGAATTTCTGTGAGATCAAGAGCAGCCTGGTCTACATAGCTAGTTCCAGGCCCAATGGGGCTACAGGGAGAAAATGTCACAAAAAGGTGAAAGAAAGAAAGGGGGGGGGGAGGGAGGGAGGGAGGGAAAGGAAGGGCAGAACAGTAGTCAAAAGGGAAGCTAAAAAGCAAAGACAGAAAACCTAAGAAAAGTTGGTATGAACTAGTATAGATGTGGGAAAAGACCCACATTTAAGAGCTCAAGGTTACATGGCCTGTCAGTCCAGAAGACCTATAAATCTTTGGAAACCAACACAGATTGTTAGAAATTAAATATCTCTATTCAAAATGTGAAACTACTGCTTGCCCCCCTACCCCGCAAAAAAGAAAAAGGCTGATAGAAAACAGGAGGGAACTGGGACTAATCTTTCTTTAGTTAAGTGTTTTTTTGAGACAGAAGGGGCTTGACTGTGGAAGGTAAGCAAAATTCCAGCTTACTTAGAATGAAACTAATAATCTAACCAGGATTTGACTGATGATTTTATATGTACATACACACACATATATATATGCATACACACACATAGAAAGTCACCAGAGGCTGTCTTTTGGCCTCCATGTGCAGGTGTACACACACACACGTCCACCCCCACACATAAGAACAAATATGCATGGCTACATATACATAGAACAATCCCTCAAAGAGAAAGCTTAGCTTCCCCTGACACTGTAGAGTTTGTTAACTCAAGGAGATTAGTTCACTAGGGGAATGACCACCTCTGCCCTCAGTGAGTCTCCCATTGTAATTCACTCAGCCTTTCAAAATCCTTGGGTTATAGTCACAGTAAAACTCCTCAAAAAAAAAAAAAAAAAAAAAAACGACAGAAAATAAGACAAGGGGGCAAGCAGAGAAGACACATGAAGGGAGAAGGGAGAATAGGAGCAAGGACAGAAATTCAAATTTCAAATGCTCATCAGAAGACCTTTATCTCAGCAAAACTGCTAGAGAAGTCAGCAGAAAAAAGAACAGGAATAGAGGCTTGAGAAGAGGGGAAGGTTGAGGCTGGCCCTGAGGCCTGTGAGCATCACCTGTGAGCAACACAGAACCATGAATCCAGGATGGCTCCTTCCCCAGTCACAGCAGAACCTGAGTCTGAGCCCAGAACTCTGCATTCTAGATTCTGGACTTCAACAAAGTGTCTGTGGAGACGCCTCTGCACACAAAGCTTTGAGAAGGAATGAACCAGAGAGCCCATGTGCAGCACAGAACTGCCCACAACAGAAGACAGAAACTCAAAGCCAAGCAATTCCCAGAAGATTCTAGGACCTGGCCATGCCAATGGGTGGCTATAGCTGAAAAAAGGTAAGAAGAACTAATATGAGATGTATTTTCAAAGCAGGATAGAAAGGCAAACGGAATAGAGCCAGAAATTTCGATGGTCAAGGAAGAAGGGTGAAGTCCTAGAAACTGATCCAAAGGTACAACGATGAGGGTGGGTATATAAGTGAGGAAGTCCAAAGATGCCAACAGTGGCTTGGAGTAAGTAATGAGAAACAAGACATATTCCCAGAATATAGCTCCCAAAGAATTAGGA